GTCTCAACGCCGCCAATCCATTGATGAATAAATTACTGTCTTTACAAACAACAGAAATCTCGAGGGCTTTAATCACAGCATTAGATAACGGGCTAACTCTTGTCGCACCAACGGGTCGACCGATGTTAGTTAGGATTAAGTTAACGCAATTCAGTAAATGACTACACATTGGAGTAAAGGATAATTGCTTTCCATTAAACACTGTATTTATGGCACCAAATAATTACTTACTTCGAGATGAAAGGGTTGTCCGACGACAACAACATCTCAATAAATGAATCCATTTTATCGTTGAGCAAAATATTAGCGAATCGTTTCTGAATCAACTCGTTCTCCAAGAGATCGCAAATCCAAACCAATACATAAACTCTGAGTTCTTCGCATTCGTTGGCCAACAAAATGTGCAAATATTTCAACAGATTTTGATTTGTGACAAGAAGTTGGAGAACCGATTCAATGGTCGATACTTTCTTCAGTAATTGCGTTGAATTATAGAGGATATCGTTATCGTCGGAACCGATGCTTTGCGGTTCAAAAGCAATCAAAACCATATGAAATGTCTTGGCGTGGAATCGTTGGTCCAAACAAAACAATTGGTTCGCTCCCAACGTGTCGTAGATCGTGATGAACAGCTTCAGTACCACTCGTTTCAGGCGACTGTTCTGATTGGGATACTCTTCGCGAAGATCTTCCAACACATTAGACACTGAAAGTGATATTCATTTCAATTACAATTGATTCAATGCAATCAATAACTAATTACTCCTATCAGTGATCCGATGGTCTCGTATGCCATCAGTGGTACAAAACGGCAGACAATGTGACACCAAATCCAGTGACCATTCGCTCAAAGGGTTGTCACCGGAAGTCAACTAAACAATCAAATTAACAAAACTAATCACTAAATCATCGATTCTTTCATTCATTCAAATTGAATACCTCTTCAATGATATAATCGGTGACCAAATCCACGATTGAGTTGTCGTTGAGTTGAGATAATATGAGTTTCAGACCTAAAGCCGAGGGAAGAAGACATCAACGGATTAGTTGCTTGAATCCAATGCAACAAACTTTGATTGCATTACAATTATTGGCACACTTTTGGACATTAGTGTCCGAATCGAAGACCAGTTGAGCGATGGATACAACAAATGCGAGCCTTTCATCGGCGCCGAAGTGGTGTGAAGTGAGATGAGTGGTCACCCAAACGGATCCATTCCTCAGCGCGTTCTCCAACTCTTCCACAAGTTTTCTGCGCGTAAAGTGATTCTCGAGAGGAGACGACCACTTGTGTTGACTGCATTGGACGCACAACTGGTGTCCAACTCGTGTCTCTAAACGCCATTTCGACTCATGTGTCGTACACTCCGTATGAATGGCAGACATCGTGTGATCACTCGCGAGGAATGAATGGCAAACACTGTTGGAGTCAAAGCACACGATCAGTACATGTCATTCGACCAGACGTTCAGAGAATTTGAATTTTGTTTCATTTGTCACATGAGTTGACACCAACTCAGCCAATGTTTGGTCCCTTTTGTGTTCGCAATAACACACGTATTGATTATGAATTGAAAGCTATGTTAAAAGGGACTGAATATACGACTAAACAAATGTGTGAAACGATTGCATAATTGGATATAAAAGGCGGCAAAACATTGAATGCATTGAAAAATGTTTTGAAAAATGTTTTGAAAAATGATTTTTGTGTTGAAAGTTGTGATCAATTATTGTCTCAATTGGTGTCCAATTGTGTGCCAACAGTAGTAGTAGTGATGTCTTCGTCCGGATATCAGTTTCCGTACATCGCGTACGACATTCAGGAACAGCTGATGGACGCCATGTATGGAGCGCTGGACGAGCAGAAGATGGCAATCCTCGAGAGCCCGACCGGAACCGGGAAGTCGTTGAGTATAATCTGCGCCACCATTAAGTGGATCCATGACTTCCACGACAAACAATTGGATACACTTTCGCGTCAACTCAAGCGATGCGATGAAGAGATCCAACGACTGGACGCCGAGAGTAAAGTGAGCTCCG